CACAGTCCACTCCTACGTACGAAATTGTGTTCTCTATTCACTGTTTGACAGCGATAATCATGTACAGCACCGCGACGGCTGCGTACAGTTTGGCAGCGACTTTTGTTACCCACATTTGTGGACAGATTCAGATACAGATAGCAAGACTGCATGATTTGGTGAACAGCAAACAGAGGAAAAATATCGAGCCTGATCCTCTGTCTGTCATCGTGCACAATCATGCGGAAATTCTAAGGTATGGAGGTAAACTTTTGTAACACGACACGTATATAAACGTCAAAGAAGCAAGTGAATATTTTAGATTTTCGAAAAATGTAGAAGAAGCATTACGAGAAGTGTGTTTCGCGCAAATTGTCGAGTCGACGATGAACATGTGTTTGCTCGAGTATTATTGCATAATGGTAAGAAATTCAATCAATATCTACTCGTGTTAATCGAACATTAATTCAATACTACGGCGATTTATCATTCGTAAAATATTTCAGGGATGGCGGAACAGCGACGCAGTGGCGACAATGACGTGTGCCACTTTGTTGGTTTCCTTCACGTTTAATGTATTTATATTCTGTTATGTAGGCGAACTCCTCTCTGAACAGGTAGTTGCAAAAGAATTTCTTTCGTTTAGACATTCTTCATTTTATCAAACACTGCCAATGATCGTAATTAGTGTAGACAAATCGGTGCAAATTCCTACAAGATCGAATGGTATAACTTGCCAGCTAAGGACGCTTACGATCTCATTCTATTGATCTCCATATCACAGTATCCACCAAAACTTACAGCTGGAAAAGTAATCGAATTATCCCTCGACACTTTTAGCTCCGTGAGTTTATATTTTTGTGATAATGACCTGTACCGTGAAACAATTAAACAATTAAACCAGAGTTTTGACTATTTTGACATTTGACTATTTTCAGGTAGCAAAAACGTCGCTAGTTTATTTGAATTTAATTCAGACGCTTACAGACTGGTAATGAAACATACATTTTCTCGTTGATGCCACATAATTATTATGATCATTGCAATTGTGTTATTATTACGAAAAATTATTTTACAGATATCTCGTTTACCAACAGAAGTCTACGTAATTTGTTTAACGCTCTAGATAAAACCTGAAACTCATTGTTGACTTATTTTAATATTTAGATTCGAAAATAAATAGCAAACAGAATTACGTAATAAATATTCGAAAGCCAAACTTTATGATATTAAATATTCAATTATTTCTTCCTTCAATATCCACTAAAGATGATATCATAATCTTACGTTTCCAGGCGTGTAAATTTCTTCTTTTTTACAGGGAACCATAATAAAAGATTTTAAACAAAGTTTTAAATCACTTTTTTTAAACAAAACAGACGTACAAGATTTCACAAAAGAATATTCATTAAATAATCATTATTAGAATATTTAAGAAAACTTAACACACACGTGTGCTCATCAATGATTTCTGTGTACTATAACTTCACTCGATCTCTTCTGCAACGAATATAGAACCTGAAAAAGACAAAAAAGGGGTGAACGCTCGCTTACTATCGACGAAAGTTTCGCCTTCCCTTATTCATGACACGCACACAGGTAGCACACATGAAGTTCGTTGTACACATTCGAGGAAACGAAAGGAAACGCGCTTGCGTTCTGACAGTGTCGTGTTGATACGTTTCTACCCTGTTGATCAGTCGCCTCTGGGCAGCGAAGCCGTCAGCATGCACGATCGATCATACGGCAGAGTTGACGGACAAGTGAGAAACGTCCATTACGACAACGACATACACTACACGCTGCAAATGTGCGAATGGCTGTTCAAACTAATCGGAATGTGGCCTCTCATCAACAATCGCACCAGAAGTAAACTTCAACAACTCGTCATCATCGTTCAGATAAGCACGTGCTTTACTAGCATACTCTTCATCATCTTAACATTCTTTCACCACATCGTCTACGTGGAGAAAAATACGGACATGAGAATGAAAATGATCGCCCCGTTTGGTTTCTGTATCTCGTCCACGATTAAATACTGCTTCTTTGGTCTGAAGAGACGCTTCATCGAACAATGTATCCAGCACGTGAGGAAGGACTGGAAAAAGGTGCATGATCCAAATTACCGTACAATCATGCTGAAATACGTGACAGTCAGCAGGAAGCTCAGCACAATATGCGCAGCATTCTTATACATCGGTGCACTGTCGTATTACACGATAATGCAGTTTTTTTCGAAGGAAAATAGTGGCGCAAATAACACGTTCAGATCACTGGCTTATCCTGGCGCTGATTGGCTCTTGGATTCTCAGTCTAGTCCTACGTACGAAATCGTGTTTTCTATTCAGTGTGTCACGGGAATGATCATGTGCAGTACCGCAGTGCTTGCACATAGTTTGGCTTCGACGTTCGTTATCCACATTTGTGGACAGATTCAGATACAAATAACAAGACTACACGATTTGGTGAAGAGTAGAGAGGGAGAGCATGGTGAACATGACCTCCTAAGTGTTATCATACACGATCATGTGGAAATTTTAAGGTAAGAACGTACCATTTATGATACGGAGGAAAAATTGGAGAAGCGAGTACATGGATGTTTCAGATTTT